GTCACAGTCCCGCCCAGCGCATCCCGCTCCCTCTTCAGTTCGTAAACTTGGGTCTTCGTCTCTTAGCGCTGTTCAGTCTCGCATCCAGTGGCGTACCGCCCGGAAAACAAATACCTTCATTTCTTGAGTTTTAAATCTGTCTCCTCGTTGTTTTATCGGGTGCCTGTATTTCGCTATTTTTCGTCATACAAGTGTGATTCATCACAAAGTCCTCCCTAAAAATCTTGATGTTTGCGGGTTTCTCTCGTATCTCCTTTTGTCATTTGTGTTCCAAGGTGAAATACACTCTGTTTCTGATTTCACCGTGTGCCTCTTGTCATCCTTCTTGCTCTTTTCTTTAGGCTTTTCCTGTACGCCTTTTTCTGAGAACACATCTGTATGCAAGATGCAGGCACGTAGGAGATTTATGGTGCTTCGTAACTTTTCCTAGCTTGTCCTGCATATTTTCCCTCGTAATTCCTCTGCTTTTCTGGTCACCACGGCAAGCACAGAGCTGAGATATGGAGAACTAAATGTGAACTGGTCTTAGGCAGGGACTGGTCTTTCTGCCTTCCCACACGTGCCACCCCCTCAAATGCACGTTTGGAGCCGGGCCTTCCAGGTTCTAGCCTGTGGGGGCTAAAGAGGGGAGCGGGAGAAAGAGCCACCCACCAAAACAGCACAGCCTTATTGTGGAGGGGAGAGCAACAACTGGGAGCACAGCATGTTGGAAACGGACTTCAGCTGAAGGTTTGCAGTGCGGTGTTTTGCTTTAAGACCAAATTGACAGTGCGGAGAGTAAATGAACTTGGATACCAAAACACTTTCATCGTAGATATGTGCGTGTTTTGTGAATTACGTGACTTCCCTGTTTGGTGGGAGAGAGGTTCAGGAGGAAAGTCGGGTTGGTCGGCGTAGTGGTTCCTTACACAACCTCCCTCTTCTCCAAGAGAGGGGACCTGATCCAGGGGAGAATCTGGGTGAATTACTGTAGTGGTTCTCGCCGTGCATTGTGTCATCCTGGTGCAGGATTGTGGGGTCTCTCGCTGACTCCTGAGGTCTTTCCTTACATCACTCCAGTTACAGAATTGGGTAGAGGATAGCCAACAGAGATGGGTATTCAGCTTTGCTCAGGCACCTCACAGACAGCTTTCCCTGTGACTGGCACTCACAGTCTGTTTCTCTGGAAGGTTCTCTGCAGTTCACAACTTTCACAGTGATAAATAGGTTGTTCATGCTCATAGTACTCCTCTGTTCTTATAACTAAGCTTTCCCCTTATCCTACAGGGCTAACTACAGTTCATATGCTTACACTATTGCCAGCCGGGCCCAACCCCTGCCCGCTGCCACCACTGGCTTGACCAATCCCACCCGCCTTCAGCAAAGCCCTGAGCTGATATTTTCAGTGATCTACACTGGTGCCAAAATGTCTTTCCAAACTGACAGTGGTCAATTTTAAAGTTAATTTTTGTTTATGGATACTTATTTTCCCCCTTTGTATTTCTTGACATTGAATTCCTCTGAGGAGCTTGAATAATTCTGTGTTGCACGTTTTTTCACCTCGCTGTTTACCCATTTTGCTAGATTATTATGGATGTGTTGAGCCCAGCAGAGAACCCTAATTTATTCCCTTTCTTTTGGTTCCTGGAACAAATATATTTTACCTGGTGTTTTGCTGAGGCTGAATGGGTGGGGAAAAGGAGTGGGAGAGAGCAGGGTCAGGTAAGTGCCCAGGCAAGGTGAATTCAGGCCTGGTCCCCGACAGCTAGACAATTCCAGCCTGCTACAGGTTTGTTTTCTCACATGATAACTTCTTACCTAACCTCTTTTTTGGGCGGGGAAAGGGTGAGTTTTACAGTGCTTCCTGCTGTACCCTTCTTTATGCTTGTCACTCTTATCCTCTGCAGAGCTGTAGGGAAGACCTGCTTGCTGATCAGTTACACCACGAATGCCTTTCCTGGAGAATACATCCCCACTGTGTGAGTAATGGCCTTGGGCTTCAGTTGCTTTTTGCTCTGTATGCACGTGTCTGTAAAAGTTGGTTTTGTCGGTGAGGAGAAGGCTGTCCCAAATCAGACCGTGAACTTCGCACATGAGGAAGATGCCGGTGGTATGGCTGTGTACGTGAGGAGGGCAGACTATCCCCACTGGAACTGTGTTGCAGTGTCCTCTCCTGATTCGCTGCCCCCTTGGATTTCATATAGAGATGTGTGGGTCGCAACAAGATTGGCACTGATGGGGACTCTTCCTTGGCAGGTTTGATAACTATTCTGCCAATGTCATGGTAGATGGAAAGCCAGTGAACCTAGGCCTCTGGGATACAGCAGGGCAAGAGGATTATGACCGACTGCGGCCTCTTTCCTATCCACAGACGGTGAGTGCTGGGCTTGGACTGGCTTGTAACTGCTCCCTCTTGGGGACAGGGAGGCTCCCAAGGACAGCCAGGGCTTCTTTCCTTTGAGGAAAGTCTAAGTTCCTACAGCTGTAACCATAATTCTGGTTGTTTAAGAAGTATCACAGCTGAATTTCTCCTAAGAGATCATCCTATTCTAGTCCCTGCTTTGTAATGGTGGTTGAACAGTTAACGCGTACCATAGGGAGGCTCAAGTGAAAGGAATGGTGTGGGGCTGCTGTGCAGCTGAGCCACGTTCCATATTCCCATTCTCTCTCGGTGGCACAGCTCACCGTTGGGCTGCACTAGTAATGTCTCACTGGCTGTAGCAATCCCTACACAGCCCCCCTACCGGGGGTGAAGCCCATAGTGCTGTTAAGGTATTTGTGGCCACAGGCTCTTAAACATGCAGAGCCCAGCATTGTAAAAGAAGATGAAGTCATACACTCTAAGTCCATTCCTTCCCTCTCTGAATTAGTTTAGCACCCTTAATGGGGAAAAATTTCTTACAGCCACAGTCCTTGCTTGTGGGAGGAGGTTGTCCTCTATGAGGCTCCCTCTCCACCTTCCCTCCATTATCTCTAGCTGTTTCTTTCTACACGGCTGACCCTCTTGTTTCTGCACAGGATGTTTTCTTGATCTGCTTCTCCCTTGTGAGTCCAGCCTCCTTTGAGAATGTCAGAGCCAAGGTAAAGTATTCTCCTTCTGGGTGAAACAGTGGAAGGGAGGAAACAGTGAAGTCCCCTGCCCCACCCAGCACCACACCTACAAGCCCCAAATTTCTAGCAGTCATGTTTTGATAAGGGAAGGTCATAGTCTGCGGGTTTTAAGAGGGGCCTACTTTTTATTCTTGACTTCTTTGGCTAAGTTTTTGCCTTTTTGAGTCTGCGTCTTAAAGAAGATAAGGGATGTCCTAGAAGCTAAAATGCTGTTAAGGGAAGCACTGTGTGCAGAGTTGGCTGGCGCTGTCTGTCCAGATTCCACGCCTCAGTGCCTTCATTGTTACATCTGCACAATCTCTTTCTGCAGAGCATATGCAGAACTGTAGGCAGGAGTATCCTGTTCAGGTCTTGCCACCACGTCAGATAATAGTAAAAACCTTGTTCCCAACAGTAGATGCATCCTCATGGTTGCATCTACTGCTATAGCTGCTTATCATGCCTCTCTGTTTCAGTGGTACCCTGAGGTCCGACACCATTGCCCAAATACACCTATCATCCTGGTGGGCACCAAGCTGGACTTGAGGGATGATAAGGACACCATTGAACGGTTACGTGATAAGAAACTGGCCCCCATCACCTACCCCCAAGGATTGGCCATGGCTCGGGAGATTGGTGAGTCTCATGTGCTGGCAGATCTCCATGGCATTGAGCTTTTTATTTTGGAGTGGGTGCGGGACAGTACGTCCTGGTAGGACTGGAGTGGTTGAGCTGGAGCTCTCTTTCCCCTAGGGTCGGTAAAGTACCTCGAGTGCTCGGCCCTGACGCAGCGGGGCTTGAAGACGGTGTTTGATGAAGCCATCCGGGCTGTGCTCTGCCCACCGCCCGTGAAGAAGCCCGGCAAAAAGTGTACCGTGTTTTGAGGGCTGTGGCCTAGGTGCTGGCTCAGCATGTTGTCGTCCTCTGACAGATTGCATATTAGCTGGATGTTTCTGGAGGGGGCTGGGTTGTGTAGGGCCCTTCATCATGTACGGTCAGTGTTTTTTAAATGTCTCTTTGATTTAACGTCAGTGTTGATGTGAAGGGGCAGCGGGGGCAGGAGACTAGCTGGGGGCTGTACAGCCCCCAGGGGAGGTACAATGGAGAAGGCAAGGTAGCTCCTTGGGGCAACAGGCTGTTTTGGCTCTCCTGAACTCCAAGCCGAAAGGGCCGAGACATCCATCCTGTCCTGGAAACACCTGGTTTCAACCTGCAGGTGAAACTGGTGGTGAAGATCCTTGTGGGAGTGGGGAGGGAGCTGATACAAATGGTGCTGAACGATGAGAGCAGCTGGGAGAGTGGTAGGGTCTCCTTGCCCAGCCTGCTGTGGCTAATAGTTAACAAACTGGTGCTCTAGCAGATATGTGCCTGAGACTGTTACAAGAAATCATAACCGGCCCCAGAAGGGGTTGAAGTAAATGAGATATGAAGCTGAAGAACTAATCATTAGGTGCTTTATTGGGTACTAGCCAAACTCAGTGAGTGAAACAGCTCTGTGCAATCGATGTTTTTGCCTTTTCATGTGTGCACACCCTAGGACAGCGTGGTGCTGCTCCCTCCCATCAGTCTTTAGCAGGGCCTCCCCCCCCCCAGATCCAGTCTCTGCAGAGCAGGGCTGTGGTTGTTGCCTCTGTTTTGTTTTTTTCTACTAAAGACAGCAAAGGAAGCAATGAGGAGTCTGCTAACTTCTTCCCCTTCCCACTGAAAGTGCAGGCGGGCTCTATGGATTTGGATGGAACAGGGAGAGCTTCTGAAGGGTTGTGGGGGGGGAATAGGGTTGGAAGAAAGACAGGTCCAATTTCTAATCATCATGTAGAGTGACAAGATAAAACCTTATTTGGTGCAATAAACATTCTCCATGACGGCGTATGTGAGCTTTATTATATAGCAGCCTTCTAAAGGTAGTTTTCTGCCTCGCTTCTCGTACAGGTTCCAGCCCTGCTGCCCCTCTTCTCCAACAGGACTGGGTCTGTGTCATTGTTTTCTATCCAGTTTACATCTATGCAGTACTAGTATGAAAATTAAGGCCAGGTGTGAAATGCAGGTGTCATCTTAGGAGACAAGAAATCCCCCATCGACCATCAGAGAGCTGCCAGTTGTCATAGCACTCTTATCACTCAGCGGGAAGAGAATGCTGTTCACAACATCATCCACCTCTGGAATCAAACACAGAGAACATCCAATGCACCCCTCAAATTGTACTAGGAAAACAAGCATCCCAAAAGGTATGCCTTTGACCTCTACATGTAATTGGAGCAGGGAAATATCTCTGCCCCCAGACTGCGCTTGATGGACAGGACAGTGTGGCTGAGAGCTGGACATCAAAAAGTCCTTGTTGCGATCAAATGATACGTAGTTCACAGCAAGCACCTATGCTCCCCTCCCATATTGATGTCATATTTATGAACAACAGAGTAAGTGCATTTCACTTGTCCCAAGATGAGAAGGCTGTAGAAGAGGGGAGATAAGGTTGATTCTCGCCCTGTCCTCATCAAATGCTTCGGGAATTCAACCACAGCCATTCAGCAGAGTTGTGACTTTGCCCACAAAAGAAGCAAGGTACCTATGGCTGTGATGTCAATTAGAGGGAAGGCTTGGATACAACAAAAGAGCCCAGCCTGGCCGGCAACAAATCTACACCACTGACCTGCAAACTTTCCCAGCGGAATCCGATTTATCATGGCAGCAGATTTCTGAGGGTCACTCCAGTTAATTCTCCCCATGTCGGTCATAACCACTGTGGGGTTCACAGTGTTCACCCTAATCTGGGACCAAGAGCAACAAACAGTCTAACCAGATTGCTCTGAGAGCATATGCCTGGGTTCAGCTTTCACACTTCTCTTTCTCTCAGAAAGAATCCTACCTTGTGGGGTCCCAGTTCCATTGCCATTACCTTGCTCAGCATATCCAAAGCACTTTTTGTGGAACCTTCAAGAGAAGGGAAAAACAGGAGGCATTTAAGTGCACAGCACTTGGTCTGGAGCACACAGAAGTATTTCACTGCCCAGAACGGGCAGCCAGCAGCTTGGTGGCTGTGGGTCTCCAGCTAGTCAAAAATGAGAGGGGCGCTGCTAAAGCCACACATACTTACAGTAAACGGCATGATCCCGCAGAGCACGCTGAGATGCCTGGCTAGAGACATTTACAATAGCACCTGGCACCCCCTGTGCAATCATCTGCCGAGCAACAATCTGGGGGGGGAAGGAAAAAAAAAAAAGGGGGATGCCAGAATTGTAACAGGGGAAATCATTATTTCATTCCGTTGGAATCTTGCCCGGCTATTATGGTAGCCAAAAGAGCAAAAACATCCGGAGGAACTAAGTCCTCCCTGCCTCCCACTTACAAGAGAGAGAGTCAAAGCAAGAGAGTGAAGGGGCTCTATGCGCAAATTGTCAGGTTAGCTTTGAATTACAGTCCCTTTAGCCCCCACAGCGGACACTTATCTCCGCTGTGCAGAACAACTTAGTCACTGCTGTTCATGGAGGCAACTGCAGTGACAATTCTTCCTCACCTGGGAAACATGAAGCACAGCCTGAAGATTCACATCAAGAGACCTACAAATAAATCAAATTTAAAAGTTAGAGAGTGGTTGCAGCCCAGGCCAGAGAGGAATTGTTTTGGGAGGCAGCAGAGGACAAGTGCTGCTGGTATCTTAGAAACACTGCTGATACTCTAGAACGTGGACGGAAATGCCAAGCTGACTGGCTAGCAAGAATGATTAGGCATCCTTCACTGGATGTAAGCTATTTAGTGTGCAGGGGGGCAGGCGCACTCGTGCGTCGTCACATTTCTAGCAGGACTCAGCTTTACTTCTGTTTGCCACATAGTCCCTCCTTGGTCAGGTTTTTACCTGCTAGTTCTGCAGAATGGTCTTAGTAGAATCCAAACGTTTTATATTCTAGTCACAAATGAATCCTTTATTACAGACCCACAACAGCCATTCTTAGTGTAGGGACAAGGGATGACCCATCTTCTCAGAAGGAAACAGACTCACCGTATCCTGTAACCTAAAGCTTCCCCCCAACTGAAACTATGGATCTTTTGAGAAAAAAAGATGTCACATTACTGCAGTAAGCAAATTTAATTTCCCACTGTGACAGTTTTATACTCCCTTACCTGTCTTTGTCTTCTCTATATCTGAATTGTCTTATCGACAACTGCTTTTCAATTTAGCAGAGACTGAGTCAGAGCTAGACTGGAAGCTCCGAGCTCGATTAACAGCAAAAGGCACTCTTCTCTCCTGCGTAGGATGGATGGCACGTGCATCTAAGGGGTGAAACTGCAGGGCCTGGCTACTCAGTAACAGCGTGGAATAGCGGCAGTGCTTTACTTGGTTTCCTTTTGATGTTTACAGGGTGAAAGGCGATTACGTAAAGCATTAAAACGCAGTAAAGAAAGCAGGCATAAGCAGTAACAATGCACAAACCACTGAGAAAGGGAACGTCGGGCATTTCTGAAAGTGTGCGTGTCTGTGTGTCTGGCTGTCTGGTGCCTATGCACCAGCTGCTTCCTTTCGTAAGGGACACCAATTTCTGGAAAGCTTTGCCACGACTTTGGACGGTCGCAGTTTTGCTAAGGCTCAGCGGACGACACCCCCTCCACCACGGGCCCAAAGCACGGCCGAGGGCAGCGGG